TGTGTGCATTTAGCGAGATATTGAATAATATCTCGCATCACTAGTGACAAATTGGATGGGACAATAATAGAATAATTGTTTAATTAATGTCGCTATGATAATTTTGTCTTAATGCGAGAAAAGAAGACATTGAATTGATTACTTTATCTAACTCTATTTAAATCACTAATCTATGTACTTGTAAAATATTAAATTAATACATATTAGCTTAATTCCTTTGATTTTTGTTTCTTAAATGGAAATTGTCTAAGTACAAAAAGTGTTGTTCATTGGCAAAAAAAAAAACAAATCGTCGGCAAGAAAGCAAAAAAAAGTAATTTCCACTCAAATGATTATTGGTTTACAAGAAACTTTTGAATTTGCTTGTTATTTTTCGTCTTATCCTAGAGGAAATTTTAGAGATAAATACGAGAGAATCTTCAAGTCCAACAAAAACACACGCAAAACTAATGATCCACAGATTACACAACCACCTCATATCTTCCAATACAACAATAATTGACGCATCACTAAATAACAAGTCTGTTACCAAAACAATGACTAAATAACAAGTGGACCAAAATATGTAGCATAATCTTTTTTGTGTGTTAATAGCGTTTGTGTGTTAATAGCGTTTGTGCGTTAATAGTGTTGATGTGTCATTATCAAAATTAAACTCTCCATATTGAATGTTGTCGAGAAAATAAAATTAAATAACAAGTGAATTATGCTAGTTAATTGATTACATTTTTCTACCTAATTAAGTCTCTTCAAGAACAAAGAAAGAAATCACATATTATATAGTTCTATTATAGAACTTCTATATAAAAAAGTAAGTTGGATAATATTCAAGCTCAGAATTGATCATTGATGATCTAAAATTCACAAAGATGTCATATCTCTCAATAAACATACGACTAAATAATAATTGAACTATAGATAATCCATGACTAAATTATATAATGTTCTTACTTTTATTTTCTGGTATTATATCAGAGAGTATATAATACAATTTTTCTTGTTATATTCATTCTACTTTTTTGACCAAAAAAAAAAAAAAAATTTCATTCTACTTTTTTCCGTTGTTCGAATATTACTGTTACCATAATTAAATAGGAAAACGACCCAGCAGCTTCCAACAAAGAAAAATATAAATATCACGTAAAGATGACGTGGCTATTAATTATTGGTTAAGATGAAAGGCTGTAAAAAAGGAAAGAACTACTTACAGATACTTGGCGCCTGACTCGTAGCCGTTGCTTTCACTCTCCGGCGATTTCTCTCTCCCCTTCTCTCTCTTCCACTGTCGTCGCCGGAGTATTGTCTTAAGCGGCGGAGAAAGATGATAGCTTTGTCTACGAAG